TACTTTACTGAACAAGTGTGACAGTACGCATTACAATCATGTGTTAGCACAGTGTTACAATGTTTTATTAAGAATGTTTTATCTGTCTGCTTTATTTACAGAGGATAAAAAATGCCCGAAAACCCGACTTCAAAATACATACAGAGGAATTGAAACCACCATCACATGTGATCATTCAGGAAACAAACAAAAGCCAAAGTTTTTCTGCAAAGACAAGGATTACATCTGTGAGGATTTTTTATCAAACAACTCCTCTCTGATATCAGACGGGAGATTCAGCATCACAGACACAGAAAGTGGTTTCGGTGTGTCCATCAGTAATGTGTCCCCACAAGATGCTGGTGTTTACTGGTGTGGAGTTCAGTCAAGAGATGAAAAGCACATACAGACAGTGTTACTCACAAAAATACAACTGGAGGTTAAACGTGAGTAGTTCACATCTTTAACTTCTTAAATTAAATTGTTTAAATTAAATTAAAGCACTTTGAGTGCCGCTAAGATAGAAAAGCGCCATATAAGTGCAGTCCATTAACCTCTTAAATTTTATCATTAATAAATCATATGTTAAGGCATGACTAAAGTTTATTGTCCAACATTTTTTCTACAGGAATTAGTTTCTCCACACGATCCCCAACTATTGGAACGAACTTCACATACTGGTGTGGTTACAAGAGAGCTGATTGTGACATCAACTGTACAAAATTCATCTGTAAGGGAGAAGATCCATATAGGTGTGAACGTCTAGCAAGCACCACAGAGCCTGATTTGAATGAAAGGTTTTCCATGACAGACGACACAACAGAAAAAAATATCACCATAACAGTCAGAGAAGTAACAGCAAACGACACCGGGACTTACTGGTGTGGAGCAGAAAGCCGTGATCAACAACACAACCAGCAGTTCTTCCACAAACTCTCCATAAATGTTGGTGAGTCGTGATACTTTATTGTGTGGATGGTACCTGACCCTGATTCGTCTTGTACGGAGGTTATGAACAGATGGCATTTCCGTTCACCGTGGTGATTTGTTGACGGTCCCTGAGCTCCCATCTGGCAGCCGGCTGCATTTAAAGATCAATGCAATTCATAAAGAACTCGTTACTGCAGTTTTTTGGGGGGTTTTTGGCCACTCAGGCATTCCATAAGAAACTAATTGAAAATGTAGGTAGCAAAATAATATCTGTCGTGTGTGAAGCCCTCACTTTCCCCAGTACTAGCAACACCAGTAGGCACTTGTTGAAGATGTCCAGGCTTTCATGAGCTATGACACTATAGCTGTGTCACACAGAGGACATTCACAAGTGGTTGTTCTGTTTCCGTAGAGGCGCAGGACTTTATATTGTGAAGAAAAATGAGCCCACAGTGAGCTGAAATGTGAAAAG